GTGTGTTAGTGTGTTGGTGCGGTGTGTTGATGTGTTAGTGTGTTGGTGTGGTGAGTTAGTGTGTCTGTGTGTTAGTGTGTTGGTGTGTTAGTGTGTTGGTGCGGTGTGTTGGTGTGTTAGTGTGTTAGTGTCCTTTCGTCGGGATTCCAAACCAGTTCAGACCATTTAAACTGGTTCTAGGAGCGTGGCTCAGTTTTTTCAAAATAAAAGTCTTTCAGGTCAATAGCACAGTGCTGTGTGCGTGGCAGCCTCGGATTGTTCAGCCTCTGCTTTGTTGAGGCTCAGACCCGCAGCAGGAAGTGCTTCCACTGGCTTTTGTTTAAAGGTTGTGCTGTTTTGTGAGTGGGTGGCAGCTTTCCTTTGTGTTTGCTGAGCTCATTACTATCCTCTGATTCTTTTTATGCTGCTCAGTCACGAGGCTCCGTGTCCTCCACACATAATTCATGCCAGAGTGCAGAGAGCGGGATCAAGACTCCAATCAAAGGAGTTTGATCAGACTCACATTCGGCAGAGGAAGCTCGTTACAGACTCATTATTGTCCTGAATGAGTCTCATTTACAGCGGCTTCATTTCTTCTGAAAACTCTGACATGCTCTGACATCTGTTTGATTTTAATCTGTTTTTGTGGCTCATCATTGATCAGTGAGGAGCTGCTATGTTGCCTTCACTGCCTTCTGTTCCTCTGAGCCTCCACAGTTTCAAGTCTCTCAGCTGTTGGCCAGTCTGCTGCTGTCTGTTGTGGACTGACGGAGCTTTGATGTATTTCAGGTTTCAGGTTTTGCAGTAAATTCTGTAAAATTAGAAATATCCTCAGAGTGACGCTGAAAAACTAGTTCATGCATTCTTCCAGGCTGGACTACTGTAATTCATTATTATCAAGAAGTCCTAAAAACTCCCTGAAAATCCTTCAGTGATTCCAAAATGCTGCAGCAAGAGTCCTGACAGAGACTAGAAAGAGAGAGCAGATTTCTCCTGTATTGGCTTCCCTTCACTGGCTTCCTGTTAAATCCAGAATGGAACTTAAAATTTCCTGAAACTCTGAAGTTGTGCCAGTCATAGGGAAGAGCACCGATCCTGCTCCACATCCAGAGGAGCTAGCTAAGGATCCTGAGGAGATCCTTCAGGATCCTGAGGAGTTGCAGGTCTGATCAAGTTTCTGGTGAATGATGAATTCAAGTATGCAGGTTAGACAA